TTTAGTCTGCTGCCATGAAAATTTCTTCTGCCTTTCCTTCAGCTGTAGATTTCTGTTCCCCTTTTTTCTTTCTTTAGTTATTTCAGTCATGTTTTTGAAGAGAAAATAAAATATAAGTGATAAATCTGCCACATTGAACCACAAGTCTCCTTGGGTTCGTTTACAAATGAGAAAACAAAGGTCCAGAGAAAAGGGAAACACATAAACACACACAGACAAAAACTTCCCCAAAGTAATACAACTAATATTTGTAGAATAACCAGGATTTAAATCTCAATCCACCTGGTTTCAAAACATGCTATTTGTATGCACATACACACACCCCTCCAAGCATTGTGGCCAAGTGATTTAAATAATTTTGTTAGAAATATTCTACCAGAGCACATCCAGGTAAATACTGCTTTTTCAATGGAGACAGCTTATATGAGGGTATTGTTGATCAGAATGTGTACAGCATGCGTCTTTGGCGGTACCTTCAAAACCTTTGCTATGTCCTTTTAACTATCTTCAAATCCCTATTCTTTGAGGGTAGATTTCACTTTTGAAAATGTCCAGAGTTATGTGGAACCAAATATGTTGGTCTAAAAAGAATAATGCTTTTTTTTTTTTTTTAATCAAAAACTAAAAATAAGTGTACCTATGAGGAAACTTAGTTTCTTGAAGGACATGTGGACTGGTTGAGTTCCTGAAGAATTCCAGAAATATTTAAGCATTGACATCACTGGAATAAGTGAATGACCTTGTGAGGCGGTTGTTTTTGTGTTCTGTGAACATATACATTCTGGGATAATTTATTTTAATGTTATTAATTTGTAGTACATCAAAAATATTATATAACTATAAACATCATTATGTTCACATGCAACATTTTCAGTACTTAAAAAGATCAATTTTTCAGCCTGGGCAACATGTTGAAACCCCCTCTTTACAAAAAATACAAAAATTAGCCAGGCATGGTGGTATGCACCTGTAGTCCCAGCTACTTGGGGAGCTGAGACCAGAGGATCACTTGAGCCCCAGGAGGTGGAGGTTTCAGTGAGCCGAATGCACTCTAGCCTGGGTGACAGTGAGACCCTGTCTCAAAAAAAAAAAAAAAAATCATTTGAGGTTACATTTCATGGTTTTTGTTCATTTATTTATTTATTTTTAGTGATTAAGATATTCACATGATTCAGCATTCAAAAAAAAATTTTAAATATATACTGAAAAATCTCTTTCTAGCAGTATTGTTTTTTCTGTACCTTCAAAAATTACGTACGTAGACTTCCCTTTTTAAAATACAAATAGTGTCATACTATGCACATTAGCTGTTCTGTATCTTAGTCATTTTTTCACTTAATGTTCTATGGATGTCATTCTGTATCAGTGCATAAAGAGCATCTTTATTCTTTTTTTTATAGCTGTACAACTTCTTACAGTTGTGCCAGAATTTACTTAACCAGTAGCCTGATAGGTATCTTTTGCTATTACAGAGCTGTAATGAATAATCTTATATAGAGATAATTTATCACATGTGACAGTATATCTGAGATACAAGTTCTGAATAGAATTGCTGGGTCAAAAGATAGATATTGCCAAATAGTCCTTCCCAGCAATTGTTTCAGCTTACACCCTAACTGATAATGTTTCCATTTCTGTATATCCTTGCCAATACATTGAATTATGTACTTTCTCATTTTTGCCCATCTGATGGTTTTATTTTTTTTAGGTATCTCAATGTCATTTTAATCTATATTTCTTTTATCGTGAATTAGATCATATTTGAATGATTTTATATATTCATTTATGTTCATATTCTCTGTTTACCTATTGTTTTGTTGGGTTTTATCTTATTGGTTTATAGAATTTTTTATATATTAGAAAAATTAGTTCTTTGTCTACATCATGTTTTGAAAAAAATAAAACACTGTAACTACTGTGCAGTTACTGCCAAATGCAACCCAAAACTAAGCCAGAAACTTCCTTACCAACAGCTGAAAAAATTAACTGTGAATATCAGAATCAGTAGATACTAAATCAACTGTTAGAAGAGTAGAATGTGCAAAAGCCACCCTTATGGTTAAGAAAATGCTCTCTACTTGGTGTACAGAAATTTTTTTTCTATAGCCTAATCTTGGAAGTGACAGAAATTTTTAAATTATTTCTTAATATAAGGGTTTTTGTTTGTTTTTTGTTTTGTTTTGTTTGCTGGATTCAGTGTCCCTTTTAGCTATATTTTAAATGGAGGAAGTATGATGTCGAGCCCTTTGCAAAGATAACAAATGTTAATAGCTTGATCAGGGGTTCCCTGGGGCTTGTTTTCTGCCCCTGCTTCAGCTGCCTGTTTCCAGCAGAAATGACTGTATTGTCTTGTATTACATGTGTACTTACTCATGTTTGTATCACAGAAATGACCAAAAATATTTCATTTATTCTCTGGACAAAGAGAGAGAGCCTGTGCATTTCCTAGAAGAAATAGGTGAAACAAACCACATTTTTTACAGAAGGCAGTTTCTAAAGGAAGTCGTAAAAGGTTGAAATGACTTTCAGAATAAAAACCAACTTCTTTTAAGCATACAGTCTATCCAAATAAAACTTTTTATTGAATCAAAATTTTATTAGTATGGGGATTTTTTTGTTTATTTTTGTTTGCTTAGTCACCAAACTCAGTATGTGAGTCTTATTTTGAAAATATTTTATCCAACTTATTTTCTTAACATTTTTTTCAAGACTAGTAAAATTAGATACTGTGTCCTATTATTGAGTCAAATAAACTATCTTGTAAAACTTGATAGTAGACACTGGACAGCCATGTAAATTTTCTTAGACTTTTAAATTAATTAATTTTGGTTATAATAATTAAGATTAGATTTATTGAAGTAAGATTAAGGAATTAACATGTAGGCAGAGCAATGGGACAGTTTTAGATAATCTTTGACCAACTTTCTGATTTAAATAATGACAGAAAGTAAGTGATTATTTCCCATTTTTGTTGTTGTTTTAGTTTGGTTGTTTCTGTTTGTTGTGTTTTTCAGAATCCTACAGAATTTGATTTCTCTATCATTTGTCATGGTAGAGATGAGGTTAATCGAAAGCTGTAATTATATACATTTAAAAGTAAATGTGTTTATATAACTTTTATTTCTCTCTTATACTAAATATTGACTATACTTCACTTAAAAGTGAGCCTTGCATGAATTATGTAGTTAATAATGTTCGGTAACTATCATTAAGTACATTTTGGGAGGCATCCTTAAATCTACTTATTCTTCATTCATTCGAATGAGGGATTCTACCTCAATAAGCTTTCCCTTAAAACAAACTCCAAGGCTATTTTAGTTTTTTAAAAAAGATTCTGTTTGGGCTACTATAACAAAATACCACTGACTAGGTGGCGTAAACAACAGAAATTTATTTTCTCACAATTCTGGAAGCCTAAAGTAGTTTTGATTTCTTCTGAGGCTTCTTTTCTTGGCTGGGAGATGGCCCTCTTCTCTCTGGGTCAGGGTATCCCTCTGTCTGTATTATCTTTCTCCTAATCTCCTCTTCTTGGAAAGACACTAGTCTTACTGGATTAGGGCCCACTGTAAAGACCCATTTTGACTTAGTTACCTTTTTAAAGACCCTGTCTCTAAATATAGTCACATTCTGAGATACCAGGGGTTAGGACTTCAGCATATTAATTTGGTGGGAGGTACAATTCAGCCCATAACAATGATCAATTAATATATATTCACTTTAGGTTAATCGAAAGCTGTAATTATATACATTTAAAAGTAAATGTGTTTATATAACTTTTATTTCTCACCATTGGTTGGTTGTAATACCAACCATTGGATGGTTATTTGTAATAACCATCATAGAAAGAAAAGTAGCCTTTAATCTGACTACCTAAAGTGGATCTAAAGTGTGTGTGTGTGTGTGTGTGTGTGTGTGTGTGTGTGTGTATATCTGTGTGTACCCTCCCAGAATTTTTTTATATTAATATATATGAAATAGTTTATAAAAACAGAGTCATCTTGAAAATAATGTTTTGGAATATGTTTTCTTTTTTCATTTAACAGCACATTGTCAGTATCTATGCCATAATTCATTGATCAGTCCCTCAATTTCTGGAATTTAGGTTATTTATAAATTTTTTTCTAGTATAAATAGTACAGAGATGACCATAAAGCTTTCCAAAAAAGCCTTACAGAAAAACTTTCTAAAATGCATATACTGTTTTCTTCAATTACAAAACATAATTCGACTTCTTTTTTCATTTGAGCCATCATTATAAGTCTCAGTTCTTTTTTTTTTTTTTTTTTTTTTTTTTTTTTTTGAGACGGAGTCTCGCTCTGTCACCCAGGCTGGAGTGCAGTGGCCGGATCTCAGCTCACTGCAAGCTCCGCCTCCCGGGTTCACGCCATTCTCCTGCCTCAGCCTCCCGAGTAGCTGGGACTACAGGCGCCTGCCACCTCGCCCGGCTAAGTTTTTGTATTTTTAGTAGAGACGGGGTTTCACTGTGTTAGCCAGGGTGGTTACTATACAGCTGTATTCTAAGATTAGCAACTGTAGAGCTGTGTTCATTTGCTACATGGCCTCAGATTCTAGTTTCTGTTCCTACCCCTGATAGAATGTATTTTATCTTTTGCTCACCACTCTCATTTCATGGTGATGACACTGTGTTACTTAAAGCATATTCTGTTACGATGTGACTGAAAAGCAGATAACCAAAACTGTTAAATTTATCTTTAAAATAAATAATTTCTGACAAAGTCCTGAGTGATTCTGGATAACATTAACCTATGTACAAACTTTAATATCAGATTTTCCTTGATTCAGAAATCTTTTTTCACTTTCTCATTTACTTTTTATTATATGATCATACTAGATAGTTTAAATTGCTGAATAAATGACCTTTGTATCATTGAAGTCATATTTTAAAGGGGAAATCTCACTCTCCAATATATTATTTTTGAAAATACTATCATTTTATCCTCCACTAAGATAATGACTTCTTACCTTTCTTCTTCAATCAGGATTACCTGAGCTGGAATTGGAAGCAATTGATAACCAATTTGGACAACCAGGAACAGGCGATCAGATTCCATGGACAAATAATACAGTGACAGCTATAAATCAGAATAAATCAGAAGAGTAAGTAATACATTTTGTATTTTATAAGATATCAGATACCAACTTCTAAACAGAGAACTATTTTTTCCAAACTAGATTTCAGTCTACAGTGGTATTTTGTGAGATATTAATAGATGTAAATACTTATTTAAAAAAAAAAAAAAAAAGTGGGCCGGTGCAGTGGCTCTGACCTGTAAATCCTAACACTTTGGGAGGTGGAGGCAGGTGGATCTCCTGAGGTCAGGAGTTTGAGATCAGCCTGGCCACAATTGTGAAACCCTGTCTCTGCTAAATATACAAAAAATTTGCCAGGCGTGGTGGTGCGCAGCTGTCATCCCAGCTACTAAGGAGGCTGAGGCAGGAGAATTGCTTGAACCCGGGAGGTGGAGGTTGCAGTGAACCAAGATCGCGCCATTGCACTCCAGCCTGGGCAACAGGACTGAAACTCAGTCTCGGGGGGGGGAAAAAAAAAGCGAGGGTAGTGGGGCAAAGGAAAGACACTGAATTAAATAGATTTATTGACTGCATGACCACAAGGCTAGTATACATTGTAATCACCAAGAGATTGATGTAATATGTAGCTATTGTTTTATACTTCATGTATAACTTTAATTGATTACCATGATGTGTCTGGGACCTATGGATGAATTGGCCTCAGTACAGTAATTATGTTGCTCTTGAACTTTTAGTTATATTTGTCCAGCATTTCTCTTCATTTGGTGCAAGAAGTTATAAGAAAGGAAAGTATACTTTTTCCATCTACTCAATGTCACATCTTGATTAGAACTGAATTTCTTGGCCAGGTGCGGTGGCTCAAGCCTGTAATCCCAGCACTTTGGGAGGCCAAGACAGGCGGATCACGAGGGCAGGAGATCGAGACCATCCTGGCTAACACGGTGAAACCCCGTTTCTACTAAAAAATACAAAAAACTAGCCGGGCGAGGTGGCAGGCGCCTGTAGTCCCAGCTACTCGGGAGGCTGAGGCAGGAGAATGGCGTAAACCCGGGAGGCGGAGCTTGCAGTGAGCCGAGATCTTGCCACTGCACTCCAGCCTGGGCGACAGAGCGAGACTCCGTCTCAAAAAGAAAAAAAAAAAAAAAGAACTGAATTTCTTACTCCCCACAGGCAGCCGTATTCCATAACGCAGAGTGCGTCTCATACCTGCCAACCATGAGAAGACTAGATAGTGTTGATTGTGATTTAGTGCCTTAACTAGGAACTGTATTCCCATTTACCTGTATTCCCAAAGGAAGAGTGCTAATAATTGTATTATTGTATTAGTGTTATTAGGATTAGTTTTATTTTGTATATATTTCTGTTTTATGTATCAGTTGGTATCAATTTGAATTAGACTGTGTATTTCCTACATGTAATCAATGAATAATTTGTTTTGTTGCTTAATACCTAGCATATTTCATTTTTCCAGTTTAATTTCTTTTGTAAATGGTAATCATGTCATGTTAACAATCAAGATGATTTGGTCATCTTTAAAAGTTAAGTAATATAATATGTACTGTTTTGGTTGTGGTTCAGTTATTAACAGTTAATGACATTCATAAAATAGATAAATAGAATAAGTAGAATAAATCTGAATATAGGCTAAATGATTTTTTCTGAGTTTTTGGCTGATTTTGTTTTTACTTTTATTATAAGTTATTTCCCCTTTCTTAACTATGTTGGTTAATTTTCCAGGCTATTTCTGTAACATGAAGAATATGGGAACAAAGTTCAATGATTGACAAAAGAACGAAAAATATATTCAAGCTACATACCAAATACTCATTTAATTTCTGCACATTAAACATAGAACATTCCATGGCATTAGAATTGCCAAGCATCTCAACAGAGAATTTTCTAAGACCAAATCTGCACTTATATATGTATATAAAGATTGAATAAATTATTTGCTATGTCAGTCTGAAACTTTCTTGTTTTTTAATCCTGCAGCCAGTGTATTAGCTCACAATTAGATGAGCTTCTCTGTCCACCCACAACAGTAGAAGGGAGAAATGATGAGAAGGCTCTTCTTGAACAGCTGGTATCCTTCCTTAGTGGCAAAGATGAAACTGAGCTAGCTGAACTAGACAGAGCTCTGGGAATTGACAAACTTGTTCAGGTATTTATTAAAGTCAACATTATTTAACTGATGGAGGCTTAAGAAGCTAGAAAATTATTTTAAGCAAGATTTTAAAATATTGTACCCACTGTGCTTTAGCTGTTTTATAATTTACCCCTTGTGAAACTTATCAAAATATATAATACATAGTGTTTTTTTAAAGAAAAGTATTATAATAATTAGAATTAGAAATAAGTCTTAGCTTTTCACCATGGAACAGAATCTTACAAGCTCCAGCCAGAATAGAATCCAGATTTATAGCATCATTTCTCATTTTAGAGCTTAATTTATCCTTCATTCACGCTTGTCTTCTGCCAGTATATTCCATGGTATTCCAACTTCCAGGTTAGCCTTTTTTAGATGATAGGGTGATAAAATCACTTTAGTGCATCTTGACCAGCATTTTTAAATAGAGTAGAATAGTGTAGAATACAAAGTGTGAGAATGCATAACCCATAAAAAGAAGTCATGTTTTATGAAACTCCTTTCAGTTGCATATACGCGCGCACACACACACACACACGTGCGTGTGTGCAAATAGGTCACAATTTATATTTCTTACAGTGGGTAATAGTGAAAACATTTGGAACCATAACACTACAGCTTTCTGTTACATCAGCTGTGGATTTTTTTTTTTTTTCAAATAAAAGCATGGATTTTATATCTGAGATAGAAAAATGCCTGCTTGATCCTTCCTTTAAGAATCTACTTCCTATAGGCGAGGCGCGGTGGCTCAAGCCCGTAATCCCAGCACTTTGGGAGGCCGAGGCAGGCGGATCATGAGGTCAGGAAATCGAGAGCATCCTGGCTGACATGCTGAAACCCCATCTCTACTAAAAATACAAAAAAATTAGCCGGGCTTGGTGGCGGGAGCCTGTAGTCTCAGCTACTCGGGAGGCTGAGGCAGGAGAATGGCATGAACCCGGGAGGCAGAGCTTGTGGTGAGCCGAGATGGTACCACTGTACTCCAGCCTGGGCAACAGAGCGAGACTCCGTCTCAAAAAAAAAAAAAAAAAAAAAAGAATCTACTTCCTATAGTAAGCTATTAAATGTAAAGTTTATTGATTCTTAGGCTTTGCAATGAAGTTTTTTTCCAAACCTTTTAGTTATATTTCATTGATTTGGAGCCTTTATTTTAACTATATTGCCATCTCTGTACGGACATTTTAAATATCTCAGCTATCTGTTACTCCATTTCAAAAGCAGCTTTTATAAATGATTTCTTTAGGTAGTAAACTTCTGGAGAGCATGAATTCAGAATGAATATATGATGATATTTTCTAGAAATACAGAAGCATGTCACTTATTGGCAGAAATTTATTTGTAAAATATTCTGGCTTCTTTTCTAACAGGGGGGCGGATTAGATGTATTATCAGAGAGATTTCCACCACAACAAGCAACACCACCTTTGATGATGGAAGAAAGACCCAACCTTTATTCCCAGCCTTACTCTTCTCCTTCTCCTACTGCCAATCTCCCTAGCCCTTTCCAAGGCATGGTCAGGCAAAAACCTTCACTGGGGACGATGCCTGTTCAAGTAACACCTCCCCGAGGTGCTTTTTCACCTGGCATGGGCATGCAGCCCAGGCAAACTCTAAACAGACCTCCGGCTGCACCTAACCAGCTTCGACTTCAACTACAACAGCGATTACAGGGACAACAGCAGGTGAGTGCTCTTGTTTAGCAGTTGATACTTTTTTTTTTTTTTTTTTGAGATGAAATTTCACTCTGTCTCCAGGCTATTGCGCGGTAATGCGATCTCAGCCCATGCAACCTCTGCCTCCCAGGTTCAAGCAATTCTCCTGCCTCAGACTCCCAAGTAGCTGGGATTACAGGTGTGTGCCACCACTCCCAGGTAATTTTTATATTTTTAGTAGAGACAGGGTTTCACCATGTTGGCCAGGATGATCTCGATCTCTTGACCTTGTGATTTGCCCGCCTCGGCCTCCCAAAGTGCTGGGATTACAGGCATGAGCCACCGCGCCTGGCCAGCAGGTGATACTTTTTAAAGGTATATTCCAAAACTCTGTGCAAGGCAGCCCAGTTGCTACAATAAAAGTGTCAAGTCCACTCCTGGAACCTTCATGAAAGATTTGAAGAGCCGTCCTTGATCTCCTAGGAAAGGGATAAAGGGCCTTTCACTCAGTTAAAGACAGTAGGCTCCTAATAAAGTACTTTGAGACCTACAACTTAAAGACAATTTAATTTTTATTTGTTGAGATACATACCATTTAAGAGGAACATCATATGATTGTTAAATTAAGAGAACCAGCTTAATTTACAAAGTAGACCATCAAGAGATACTGTTTATGATTATTGGAACAGAAAATAAAGTTTATTTATATTGTTTGAGGTTGGAGAGACTGATGCCTAGTGATGTTATTATATTAGGAGAATGAAGGAAAAGATAGTTTGGGGGCCTGGGAGTTGTGAGTGAGTTCAGTCTTCTCTCTTATGACAGGAAATGAGTAGGCGTAGTGGCATAAATATTTAAGATTGTATAAGCAACAGATACGGAGATAATCATTAAGGACCACAAGAGCAAATGGTTAAAAATGTCTGCTATGGACCAGGCGTGGTGGCTCACACCTCTAATCCCAGCACTTTGGGAGACCAAGGCTGGTGGATCACTTGAAGTTAAGAGTTCGAAACCAGCCTGGCCAACATGACGAAACCCCGTTTCTACTAAAAGTGCAAAAAATAAATAACCGGGCATGGTGGCACATGCCTATAATCCCAACTCCTATGGAGGTTGAGGCAGGAGAATCACTTGAACCCGGTAGGTGGAGGTTGCAGTGAGCCGAGATCATGCCATTGCACTCCAGCCTGGGCGACAGAGTGAGACTCTGTCTCAAAAAAAAAAACAACAATGCTGTGGAAAGGGGGACCTGAGCTGTAGATTGTTGCTTCTTGTTATGAATCTTGTAGTTTCTAAAATCAGATTTGTATATTGCTTTTAATTTTTATGAAAGTATTTAAAGAGGTTCCCTGGAGACTTACTAATTCAGGAACGAAGAGAAAGAAGTAGATAAATTATACTGGAAAGGCAGTGCGATATAATGGTTCTAAGAATTCTAGTTTCAAGTCCCAGTTCTAAACTTAGGTGGTTTGCCTTAATCAAATGATTTACCTTTTAAAGCCTCTAATTCCTCATCTATAAAAAGAGTCTAATAAAGAATTCCTTTCCCTCACTGCTGGTTGTGTGGAATAAATGAGACAAAACATGTAAAGCTTGTAGCATAATGCCTGGCATATTGTAGCAGTTGATAAATGCTAGCTATTACTATAAAGTTGCATTCAATAAACATAATATGTGATATAAAATGTGCTTCCATTCTGTTTAAAAAAAGGAAGATGATGAAAGAGAGGAAGAGAAAAGGAGAACTAAGAAAGGGAAATTTTTTTTAAATGATAGAATAACAATAAAAGGAATAATTTTTTAAATGCTAGGGTGGAGTAAAGGATTCAAAGAAGAATTAAAGGAAGAGAGAGGAAAAGAGAAAGAGAAGGAATCATAAATGTTCTGAGATATTAATTGAAGACAAACTACTTCTTGTAGCTTTCCATTCATCTTTAGATAGAGGGCACCAGAATAAGAAATGCTTAATAGTTTCCCCATGTTTAATTTTTCACAGAGCATATTTAAGGGGACTGTACTAGGTACTATAAAGAATACAAGGAATAAAAGAAACAGGCAACTGCTTGGCTTTTTGACTACAAAACCGGAAACCGTTTTGACTACATACCTGAAAAGTTAAGTGACGCTGCAAGCAGTATGTGATTAAGGGCTAAACCAAAAAAGTAAAGGAAAGTGTAGGTGTGCTAGCTTCTCATTTTACAATGTAAAGTTCTGTAAATACTGCCTAATATTAAAGGGTCAATGAGTAAGGCCAGACCAAGGGTCTAGGTCAGGTTCATGAATGAATGGAATGATGATTCATGCTTGGTTCAGAAAAAAAGCTGTTTTGGCTTTCTTTTGCTCCTGAAACAGCTGATAAGCAGAGAAGCCCTGCAAAGGTATGAGAATAAGATGCAAATAGGTGAAAGTTGCTGTTCTTTGCTTCCTTTAAATCTCATGGATGCCTATCCAGAGATGGCATGGTAGCCCAACAGAGTATAAAGTATCCACCAAGTCGAAGAAACACAGAATTTGGGGCTCACTATGTTATAAACCCCAGATATGTCTATACGCAAAAACAACTTCTACTGCCAACTAAGACAGTAACTCTGCTATCTAATGAGCCACATATCCAGGCCTTTCCTTTCTGTTCTGAGCCATAAGTTCTTACTGTTTCAGCAGTAGGTCACTCAGCTTCACTTGTACTGCAAATACTAGGAATTTTCCATGTGTCCACTTAAGGGCTTTCTGTGAGCAGGTCTGGCCAAGGTTCTCAGTCATTGTCTTAGTTAAGATGCTTTCAGCCACAAGGAAAGAAAAAAAGATGAACTCAGCATAGTAAAACAATAAAGAAAATACTTTGACCCAGTTGACAATTCAGAATGGAGGCAGACCAAGGTATGGTTACTTCAGAGATTCAGGGATGTTATCAAGGACCTAGGTTCTTTCTCTTTTTGCTCTGCAATCCTTGGCGTGCCATGATTACAAATACCATAGGCAAACAAAACCATAACTAGCAGAAGAAAAGGGACTGTTTCTTTCCTATGTACCTCTTTCCAAAAACCAGGAAACTTTTTCCAGAAGGTCTTCCCACCCCATCCCCCACCAAAAAAAGAAAAAAAGGAACCAAAAAAAAATTAAAAAGGGGGAAAAATACTTCACATGTCTGACTAGTCAGAACTGAGTCATATGTACACCCTTAGCCAGTGGTTCGCAAAGACTGACTGAAAGTACTCCTGCATTACCCCTGGAGTTGTGTGATTTGGGATGGTCAGCTGAACAAAATCTATTCTGTCTTCAAGAAAGAAGGGGAGAATAAATGGCTGTGGGTTGGCAATAACAGTGCCTGATTAAATCAAGAAATTGAGGTTTAAATGTATTGTTTAAAGTTATATAGTTAAATTCATAGTTGGGATAAAATAGTGAACTGAGGTAGTATCCTGACTTAAATCCTATTAAATGACAGGTTGTATTTTTTTGTGCGTGACTAAGTACATGTCAGTGTAGACAAAAAATGAATACCATTAGTGCACTAAAAATTAAGTCATTTTGAAATATAAAAAGCAAACATGAGAAAGAAACAAAATTATACGTAAATAATACAACTGTTTATATAGAAAATCCTAAAGAATCTATAGGGAATTTAGAACAAATAGAGTAGTTCAGCAAGGATTTTAGATAAAAGAACAAGAAATAAAAATGACGATTCTTTTTACTAGAAAATTAATTAAAAATACATTCAGACCAGGCACAGTGGCTCGTGCCTGTAACCCCAGCACTTCGGGAGACCAAGGCGGGAGGATCACCTGAGGTCAGGAGTTTGAGACCATCCTGGCCAACATGGTGAAGCCCCGTCTCTACTAAAAATACAAAAATTAGCCAGGTGTGGTGGCATGCTCCCAGGTACTCAGGAGGCTGAGACAGGAGAATCACTTGAACCTGGGAGGTAGAGGTTGCAGTGAGCCAAGATTGTGCCATTGCACTCCAGCCTTGGCGACAAGAGTGAAACTCCATCTCAAAAAAAAAGAAATTCACACTGTTGAAAACTTAGAAGACTAAAAGTCATAATTGAAAGGCAAGAAGAATATCCAAATAAAAAATACTCATGAAAGAAATTATATCTTCTAATTCGTTGTTGCTAGTAAAAAGATGACAATTGTTCCAAATTTAATCAGTAAATTCAGTGGAATTCCAACAAAATCTCAATGTGGAATTTGACAAATAGATGCTAAATTTGTTTTAGAAGCATCAATACAATCTTGAAGTATTAATAAAATGAGGGTCTGCTTGCTCTACTGATATCAAGATTTAAAACAAAGCTTTAAAGATTAAAGCAGGCCGGATGTGATGGCTTACACCTATAATCCCCCCATTTTGAGAGGCTTAGGCAGGAAGATTGCTTGAGGTTAGGAGTTTGAGACCAGCCTGGGCAACATAGCAAGACTCTGTCTCTACCAAAAAAAACAAAAAACAAAAAGCCAGGTGTGGGGATATGCACCTGTAGTCTCAACTACTCAGGAGGCTAAGTTGGGAGGATGGCTTGAGCCAGGAATTCAAGGCTGCAGTGAGCTGTGGTTGTGCTACTCATTCCAGCCTGGGTGGCAGAGCAAGACATTGTCTCTAAAAAAAAAATTAAAACAGTGTGGAACTAGCATGAGGATAAATAGTTCTACCATAATAGAGTTCTACATAATAAAGGGTTCTGCATAATAGCTCTACATAATAGAAAGCCCAGAAACACACCCAGACATATTGGAGAGACTTAATAAGAGACAGAGGTGACAATGGGGAAAGAATGGCATGCATCATAAATGCTGGTACATTTGACTATTCATGGGGAGGAAAAAATTAAATTAGATCCTCATCTTATACAAGACACAAAAATAAACTCTAAGTGTTTTAATGACCTAAATATGAATATGAAAATATCTCTATAGCCTCTTTAAAATGACGTAAAGGAAAAAGTTAATGTTTACATTAAAATTTAAGACCTACAAGACAAAAGACACCATAAGCAAGGTTAAAAGGCAAGACAAAGACTCAAAGAAGATATTTTCAACCCATATGACTGGCAAAGGACTAGTATCCAGAATACACCCAGTTTGTAATCTGCTATTCATAATATATTTACCTCACTGGATTGATGCCCATCTGTTCACTTATTGGTTATATCATCTCCTTCCCTCTTCCCAAATACAGGAGACTGTAAGCATCTCATAGCAAGAATTTAGCACCATGCCTAATGATTTGAGAAAAGAAAAGAGGAGTATACTCAGATATACATTATAGTTTGTTTCTTTTTAGTGAATTTTAAGATCAGTTTAAAAACATGTTAAAAAAATAAAATATATAAATAGATATCATTTATTGACCCTAAGTATATCTCACTGGCTAGTATATACTTTTTACTCCTTGTGTAAAGGAGTAAAAAGATTATAACATTTTAAATTCAATTATAGAGTTATGAATAAATCCCCAGTTGGGAGGAGAGTATGAAAAACATCCTAGGAAACTAGTATATCTGTATTGGTTGAGACTTTCAAAAAACAGCAAAAAGGAAGGAAGGAGCTGATGATTAAAAAGTAATACAAAGTTACAAGCCATTAGCTGTAATACCGGCTTACTTCTCAAATGAGCAAAGACCCAAGGAATATATCCATAATATCAATAAAGGACGTTTAAAATTCTATTTCGGGAAATAGAACAACAGCAAAAATGGGTAGACCTGCTGCTTTTAGAAAATGGTGTCATAGGTCGGGCACGGTGGCTCACGCCTGTAATCCCAGCATTTTGGGAGGCCGAGGTGGGCGGATCACGAGGTCAGCAGATCGAGACCATCCTGGCTAACACAGTGAAACCCCATCTCTACTAAAAATACAAAAAATTAGCCAGTCGTGGTGGCGGGCACCTGTAGTCCCAGCTACTCGGGAGGCTGAGGCAGGAGAATGGCATGAACCTGGGAGGTGGAGCTTGCAGTGAGCCGCGATAGCGCCACTGCACTCCAGCCTGGGTGACAGAAAAAATCATAATTTAAAAAATGAAAAAATAAAAAGAAGGCTGGGCACGGTGGCTCACGCCTGTAATCCCAGCACTTTGGGAGGCCAAGGCGGGTGGATCACCTGAGGTCGGGAGTTCGAGACCAGCCTGACCAACATGGAGAACCCCTGTCTCTACTAAAAATACAAAATTAGCCGGGCATGGTGGCATATGCCTGTAATCCCAGCTACTTGGGAGGCTGAGGCAGGAGAATCGCTTGAACCCAGGAGGCGGAGGTTGCGGTGAGCCGAGATCTCACCATTGCGCTACAGCCTGGGCCGCAAGAGCAAAACTCTGTCTCAAAAAAAAAAAAAAAAGAAGAAGAAGAAGAAAAAGAAAATGGTATCATATTAGCTGACAAAACATACGATTTTTCTACTCCAGTTTTGTTCTTCCCCAGCAAGGATCATGATCTTCGTAACTATCAAGAGGAGAATATTGTAAAGAAAAAGTGACAGGGAGACACATAAACAAATATGGTATAGTTAGCAATCTTAAAACAAGTGAAGTCCAGATTTGTATGTGTTAGGGTACTGAACAAATGTATGTATCTGACTTTATAAGAACCACCATTGATCATCTTTTATATATTGTAGAGAATAGAAGTGATCAGAAAACAGAGTTAGGATTAAAGGACAGAAAAGAAGACAAACATTTTACCTTCAGGTTTCTGGCAATAAAAAATGCCTGATAGAACAAGAAGCTTCTTTAAAGAATACTTTTGTCTTTGCAAGAATTTGTGCAGTAGCTAGCTCAGGGTTTCTCAACCTTGGCACTTTAACATTTGGGGCTGGATAATTCTTGATATGGGGGAGATGTTGTGTGCATTAAAGATGTTTAGCAGCATTCCTGGCCTCTGCCCACTAGACGTCAGCAGTACCTCCTCCCCAAGTTGTGATCAGCAAAAATGTCTTGCCAAATGTCCCTTGTTTGGCAGAATCACCCCTAGTTGAGAACCTCTAGGCTGGATAATCATCTTTTAGGTTTCCTATAGAAGGACTTCTTGGTAAAGCATTGGGAAGAATATCCATTCCGGCAGATAAAGTGACAGCTAGCCTGAACTGCGTGTGTTTATTTTATACTTGTGAATGGGTTTGCCCTCTTCCACTGGCCACAAGCCCTACATTTCCTTTTGTTCTACAACAAGCCTTTTAACCTGTGTTTGTGTCTAAGGACTAACAACTAATCTCCTCCCATCCCCCACCTCTCTGAAAGTTAAGATTTCCAAGGAGCTAAGGAATGGAGTGATCCTTTTGGGAAGGCTTTGTTGGAATAAGTGGAACTTGACCTACTTGTTAAAAAACAAAGCATTTTAATAATTGGAGAAAAGAAGCAGGTCAAAGTAGGACAGATGTACACAGCACTAGTCAGGTTGCACACACAGTCAAGGGGAGGAAAAAAATGAACAAGGGTTAATTCAAGCGCAGGAATAGATCAGGTTTCCTATAACAGAAAGTACTTGTAGATTTATGCTATTTAGAATAATTCCTTCTTCTTAAAAAGAGCCTGTTACTACTTGTCAGGTATCTTTCTTCCATCCCTACCCATTTCATTTGTATATTATCTCACAATTCAAAGAATATATAAATCTATATGTTTGGAATGTATTTTGACCTGTCCTCATTGCCTCCTCTCCTGTTTTTATACTTGCTGTTCCCTCTGCCTCAAGTTAACTCTGCCCTCCTCCTTGCCACCTCGCATTCTCATCCTTCAAGACTCTGCTGAGTTCACTCATGCTTCATGGTCCCTGTCTTCATCCCTAGGCTGAATGAGCTGCTCCCTCTGTGCTGCCGTAGATGTGTCTGTCTATGCAGACAAAGCACCTGTGCATTTTACTGTTGTGCGTTGGCTTTTGCCATTCAGTAGGGAACTCCCAGAAGGACAGGAATTTGCTCACCTTTGTAACTGCAAACTTTATACAGTATCTTGAATGTACTGAGTTTTTAAGTAAATCTTTATCAAATTAACTTGGTTTATTTAAATTTATATTCATGGTCTTTCAAGTTTAAGAAGTATATCAGTTTTGGTATTTAAGAGTCTTTTTGACTTTTAAAACTATAATGTTGGTATCTTTCTTTTTGAAGTAACTCAGAACTTCAAAAAGAAGTTTTAACTTATTCCACAATGCCTTAGAGTTGTCATTTTAACATTTATATTATGATGAGCTTTTCCCAAAAATTGGTTTGTTTTTTGATCTAATGGGAGTCAGAAAATGACTGAAGCTAGAATTAAGAGTTGAGCTATTTGGTGACAAGAGATTTAATCACGTTCATAGCTCTTTCGATTCTTAGAAAACTTTCGTAGGCTTTCTAGTTTAAGTATAATATATTGAAATATATTAATGTATGATATATACATATAATTTGTGTTATACAAGGTATCATATAAACATAAAATAGTATTAATATTATTGTTACTGTTATCTTCCTGAATAGTTTATTCATATCAAATTATTGAGGAAGAAATGTTTTAAGCTATAGATTGTTGGCAAGAAAATCTCATTTCCAAGAATACTTCTTTTGTTATCAGATACAGTTAAGGCATACCTGGCATGCCTATGACCTGGAACCCTAATCCTGATCTAGACTGATCTTCCAAACCAGTGTTCATAGAAAACTGTTCTGGGAGATGGGTGTTAATGGGTAGATGTCAGAAAAAAAGGTTCATGATAAATAAATTGCATAGTATATCCCTTCTTGGAGATCCACAATGTGCTTTTGGCCAATTAAAGGCTTATAAAATTTCTGCAGTAAATAAATCTATTTTACCTTGTGTAACCCATCATTTCCAATACTTAATACAGCACAGAATGCTGTTTTCCCAGCATATCTATTAATATCCTGCAGAACAATGGTTTTTAGCATACCAATTTGGGAAACTGGTCTAAAGTAATTACTTTTTCTAGTTAAATAATCCATTTTTTCAGACCATTTGTTTCTTACGTAATACTGTCTAGCTAATGAAATCATATTGGATTTTCCCCAAATATGTATTCACCAGACATAGTACCTCCAAGTGAGAATACCATCCAGCTTGCTCAACTTTCCCTTCATCTTCCAGACCTTTGTAAAATGTGCCCTTATTGTATACCTGCTTTTACATTTATAATATTTTAAGACCTAAGGCTGATATTTCTTCTTCTCCATTACAGCAGTTATCTAAAATAACTATTAACATGGTTTTTTTGTTGTTGTTTGTTTGTTTTTGAGACAGAGTCTCGCTCTGTCACCTAGGCTGGAGTGCAATGTGTATCCCACTTTTAAATACTTTGCCATAGTGTTTTGGAGGCAAATAAGTGTTTTATAAATGTTGGAAACTACCAGCCTTTTGGAAAATAAACATAGGAAATAATTTTACCAAACCTGCAACACTAAAACTTTTTAGTAGTCAATAGAAAGTTTGTGTTACTTTCTAAGGCCAGTGTTGTGCTTGTGTGTAGAAATATGGTATCTTACTGTTTCCATTTTTCTCTAGTTGATACACCAAAATCGGCAAGCTATCTTAAACCAGTTTGCAGCAACTGCTCCTGTTGGCATCAATATGAGATCAGGCATGCAACAGCAAATTACACCTCAGGTAATGTGAGAAAACCAGACGTCGTTAGTACTTCTTTAACCCACACAGTGTTTCGTAAAGTGTTGACTTGAGTGTCTTTGAAATGGTCTGTGGGCTGATCTTTTAATGATGTTTGTAGTGTAGTTTTCTTCTAGAATGAATTAATTACTTTGATACCTCTTACTGATATTTGATCTAAAGCAAATGGTGCTTTGTTTTGTTTTATTGTTATTATTGTCATTGTTATTGGATACCGGATGACTAAGTAGAAAAAGCTCTTATTGCTGTAGTGAATAGCACCAGTAACAGGAAGCCTCTGATATGAAACTATGTGAACGGTACCCGAAACCTGATCAAAACCCAGTCACATTGCTAAGCTGTCTTAACTATCTTGTGTACTATATTCAGTCTGAACATCAGCATTTTCTAGCTTTTATTTATTTTTTAAATCCCTTTTTTAATAAACCCAGTGCCATTAGAACTTTAAACATAAAAAGAACTAGGTGGACTTCTAAATGTTACCTAGTACTCACTCCCTACTTTACCCCCATACATACTTAAAAATTTTTTGTTTCAACTACTTACTTTTATTTCATAACAAAGTTGATGTAAAAGTCTGAGAGATAAGGAATTTTAGAGAGGATTCAAACAGTATTCTTTTCCTCTCCACAATATGGAACTAGATGGATTAGGGGCAAATACAGGAAGCCAGCACCTGTATTATTAAAAGGGATAAGTACAGCCATGCATCACTTAAAGACAGGGATATGTTCTGAAAAATGTGTTTTTAGGCAACTTTGTAATTGCGCAAATGTCATAGAGTGTATTTACACAAACCTACATGGTATAGCTTACTTATACATCCTGGCTATGTGTATATCCTATTGCTCCTAGGCTACAAACATGTACAGCTTGTTACTGTACTGAATACTGTAGTCAATTGTTATGGTATTTGTATATCAAGACGTACCTAAACATGGAATAGGTACAGTAAAATACTGTAGTACTATAACCTTATGGGACCACCGAATTTGGTCCGTCATGTGCAACTGAAATGTCTTATTACTAAAATGCCTTATTGCTGAAATGTCTTTATGTATCACGTGACTGCATTGACTGAAGCTGTTGGTAAGCAGCAGATATTGACATCTTCATGGATCCAGATTTCAGTTTCTGTGTCTTACAAATTATCAATCTTAGTGCTAGCTAATTCAGGAGTAATTAGGTTGTAAGGAAACAAGACCCCACTTTTGGATTCACATAAAGATAATTCCTATCAGAAAGTCTTATTTCATAGTGTCTTCTAGATTCAACTGTATGTAGTTGGCAAGAGCTGTATGCTTTAACCAGATTCTCAATCTGAATTGACATTTTCTGAAGAAGCCTTTATTGATATGCCATGTTATATTGAAAAAGTGATTTTAACCTAATTTGACCACTTTTTTCCTCATCCATAATATTACAACTGTTAAACCACTTACACTAATGCCTGGAATAATCTGAAACTCCAATAATAATACAACATAGCTCTTTTCATTTATTTTTTTTTTACTATTTTATTTCTACTTCTTTTTAAGTGATATTTTCTTAGGCATTGGATCCTAGATTTCTGAATCTTCCTTTTTTAATGGTATTTGTAGGTTTTTTCTAATTGTAAAGGTAATACATGTTCATTGTAGATAATTTGGTAAATACAGAAAAGTATAATGAAGAAAATTAAAATCACCTATAATCACATTTTATTTGTTTAAATAAAGTCGGATAATGATCTCAGTGAGGAAAGAGGAAAACTAAGTTTCTTCTTACCAGAAACACAGTAAATTTTTTGAAATTGAAAAAGTCTTCTAATGATCTAATGAAGGATAGGACAGAAGTAATTAAGCACATTTTCTTTCACCTCCTTATGGTTTTCATGTTTCTCTTAATAATGTTCATGGCCAATATTGTAATACTAATCAATATATACTTTCTTTGAATTTTTCAGTTCTGTGTAACTTTTAATTGAGAATTTACGTGCTCGTTTATAATGGTCAGATATTGTTTGGCATTTCTTGACTACTTTTAGTCTGTAAAATGTACTTAATTCATTTTTTCTCCTGTGTTTGTTACTTGAGGTTTTTGTTCCTTTTCTGTTTTAGTTTCCCTTGTACAGTGATAATTGCTATGTACTTTATTGCCCCACGAAAGTAGGCTTTAATCCAATAAACTCTCCAGGATACAGAGTGATTATAATAATTTTAGTAAGTGAGTTTTTTCCTGCTTTTCAGCCACCCCTGAATGCTCAAATGTTGGCACAACGTCAGCGGGAATTGTACAGTCAGCAGCACCGACAGAGGCAGCTAATACAGCAGCAAAGAGCCATGCTTATGAGGCAACAAAGCTTTGGGAACAACCTCCCTCCCTCATCTGGACTACCAGTTCAAATGGGGAACCCCCGTCTTCCTCAGGGTGCTCCACAGCAATTCCCCTATCCACCAAACTATGGTACAAATCCAGGAACCCCACCTGCTTCTACCAGCCCGTTTTCACAACTAGCAGCAAATCCTGAAGCATCCTTGGCCAACCGCAACAGCATGGTGAGCAGAGGCATGACAGGAAACATGGGAGGACAGTTTGGCACTGGAATCAATCCTCAGATACAGCAGAATGTCTTCCAGTATCCAGGAGCAGGTAGGAGGGTCACAAGTTTATGTTGTTCTAAGTAATCCATACAGGCTTAGGTCTCTCTCCACCTTCATGTCCTTGCTCGGACATTAAAACAGTGTGTGGAAGAGGAAAGACACTGACATGGGAGTCTGGAGACCCAGGATTCAGACTCAGCTTTTGACACTAAATGACTGGTTTGAGGCTTATCTCCCTTTTGTAGCTGAGATGATTGAATTAGAGGATCTGTAAGGACCTGTCTGACTCTAAAATTTTGAGCATTTTGTATACAAAGTACATTCCCTTTTTTTTTTCTTTTTTGTTAGACGGAGTCTCACTGTGTCATCCAGGCTGGGAGTGCAGTGGCGCAATCTCAGCTCACTGCACCCTCCACCTCCTGGGCTCAAGTGATTCTCCTGCCTCAGCCTCCCGAGTAGCTGGGATTACAGGCATGCGCCACCGCACCCAGCTAATTTTTATATTTTTAGTAGAGACAGGGTTTCACCACGTTGCTCAGACTGGTCTTGAACTCCTGATCTCAGGTAAGCCACCACACCCAGCCTGTTCTCTTATTTTTTAATTTCTCTCATTGATCTCTATGAGAATTCAATGAAAGTGTTCCCCACACAATGGATTTTAGTACATTAATTCAAAATTCGCATGTAGTTTTTTCATTGTGTGTGAGATTTTGTTTTTGCCAATTTGCACAAGGATAATTTATCTCCACAGGGTATCTCAGACTACTCATTGGTGTCATCACTCTCAGCTGCTGCTGTTGCAGCTTCCTCTCCAGCCTCAGTCAACTTTCTGGCTTCCAAAAATTTTTTTCTTTTTTAATCTTTCTTTGGCACTGACTTCCATTCTCTTTGTCCTGGGTGATAATATCTTTTCTTATTTCTTTTCTGTCACTTTGAGATTCTAATAGGTAATGACAGTGATACACACCTGATTAGTCTACTCTGTTTAATCAGACTTTTATGCAAAATTAATTGTCAATTCCTGAAAAATAATTGAAATAAATCCCTTGATTATATAAATGAAAGAAAATAGGTAAATTTTAAGACTGCTTAAAAATGAATTTCAATGAGAAGGCTGCTGTTTGACTTGAATAAAATGTCGAAGTTACACAGATATTTTTGACATGGCAGTATGCTTATCAGTTTTGACAGCCAAATCAATTTAGAGTTTCCATTGTGATGGTAGCAAGTACTAAAATCCTTTGACTATCAAATTAAGTATCTAAAGATTTGTGCCAGAGCACCAGAACTTTCAAAGAGATTTTAATCAAAATTATGCCACATCAGTTTCTTTGTCCTCAAGACAATGAAGTCATCTTTGGCTGGTTTATATCACTGACACTATCTGTGTGGGCAAGAAAAGGATTATAAATCCATATTTTAATTATATGGTTGCCTGAACAAGAGTGTGGCCTTCAAAAGGGTTTTGTTTCCATGTGTCTTACAATTTCTGTATGCAAAGAATTTGACAAAGCTTTTTCACTTTAGCTTGCAGAAGTACTTCCTCCAACATTAGAAGACTTATGTAGTTATCTGCATCCCCATTCCTCCTCCAAAATGACAATCTGACTAAAACAGCAAATGGGTTTTTAGCAGCATTCCTGATATTGATTGCAGAGCCCTAAATCAAAATATTTATCTCCTGCATTAGGGGAAAAAACTCACTAGAAGTAAGCCAAACATCAATAAATTCCTCATGAAATTATTCTAAGGCTTTTTTTCTATTAAAAAAATAGAAATAGTGTTTCTGTCCATTTTCAGGCATGCACTTTAAAGTTTCCTCTGGGAAGTCAAGAAAGGAGGACTTTATATCCTGCTTTCATTCCTTGACAAAGCCGCCTGGAAAGGTGGGCCTTCAGTGCCCCGGTCCTCGTGAAATTGACAAGTTTCTTTCACAGCTGTGGGTCTAGTCTTTGATCTGAGTTGTGTCAGCATAGAACAAAGTGAGCTGAAATAATGGAGTGGGTGGAGCTTCCTCTTTCCCCGTACCATGATGGGAAAGATGTGTTGCCACCTATCATGAGTATCTAGTGCCTGGGTTTTTCTTCCAGACCAACTTTTGATTGACAAAAATATTTTCACAAAATAATAATTTGCTTTTTATAAAGTCAGCATTCATACTACAAACAAAACCCAGAAGCTGCGTGCAGTGAAGAGAACAGCGGTTTCATCCAGTTGCAAACTGAAATGAAATGGCAGGGCTGTCAGTTCTTCCATGGACTGCTTCAAAATAATACTGGAAAAATGTTTAGCTTTTCTGGAAAGAATAAGAACGTTTAAAGATGCAATATTTTAAATTTCTGTCACCACTCTTAATTATAAACTTGCTGCAAATTGATCAGCAGTCTGGTAGAGGACCAGGTTTTGTGTTGGCACAAAATCAAGTTCTGGAAAAGTTCCAGCCTTTTCAAAAACAAAAACAGTTTATTGTGGCTTAAGGAAATCCAGATAGAAGGGCTCTTTGGCCTTTGTTGGTTTTATGCTTCTATTCCTAAGAAATAGGAAGTACCAAAATATATGTGTTCCCAACATGTTTCCAGGTTTGACAAATTAAGGTCCATAATCCAGCCCACTTGTTTTCTGTTTTACTGGAACACAGCCATGCTTACTGCTCTATGTATTATCTATGGCTGGTTTCACACAGAAGAGTTGAGTAGTTGTTCAAGAAACTTTATGGCCTGCAAAATTGAAAACATGTATTATCCGGCCCTTTGCAGAAAAAGCCTGCTGATTTCTGTGTTAAGTGATGACAGTAAAACCAATGAATAACTGCATTAGCTTTGCCTTATATCCTTTGCTTTCACCTCTTTCTGATTAATATAGGCCCCAAGTAAATAAAGGAACATGTAAGTCATAGTAATGGCAGAGTAAGTTTTCTTGTATTTCTGAAAACAAGAAACTTCTAGGCTACCATGCTATGATGATGAGTGTGCAAGAACAGAATCAGACATTTAGAAATTGTTGTCTATTAACACAGTATTCAAAGTAAATATGAGAAATTGGTTTCTTTAGTGTATCTGCCCACTTCATGGATTCCTTGAAGCCCATTTAAAGACCTCTTTTCTGTGAACTACAATAAAATCCTCTTCCACCTATTCCTCCTCAGTGATCTCATCTCCTTTTGGGGTTTCAGGGACCTTTACATGCTAGTGACTTCATTCTCTATCTCTAAACAGTATCTCTCAGCTCATATGTACAGCTGCCTACTGGATGCACATACTTGCATTTTCAACCAACACCCCAAACTTAACTTGTACAAACCTAGGCTCATCAACTCCACGTTCCCTTTTATAGTTCTGTGTTCCAGCTACAGTAAACTTTCTGAGTTCTGAGAAACAGCACAGACCTTGTTCTCTTTTACTTCCAAGGGCTTTGTACATTCTCTATACTCTATCTAAAGTATTATTCCTTTACTTCTCATTCCTATTCTTCCCTCCTCTCAGATATATCTCCCCTGCAGAGTCTTCCTGGACACTCCTAATCATAAAGTACTTGCCACCCTGTCTTAAAACCACTTGTTAACCTAGGTGTCTTTCTTTTAAATAGCAAGTTCCTTACGTGAGCAGAGTGTGACCTTTTTAACCATTGTTTCTCCAGTGCTTAGCACAGTGGTCTCACAGTAAATAGATGCTCAATCAATCTTTGAAGAAATAAATTAATGGAAGTATGAATTCTAATTCTAGTTGCCACTGTCACGTGTCTGCAATGCTGGTTATGGTCGGTCTAGCAGGGAGACTTAACATAGTCTAGGCTGGCTGGGCACGGTGGCTCACACCTATAATACCAGCACTTTGGGAGGCCAAGGCAGGCGGATCACCTGAGGTCAGGAGTTTGAGACCAGTCTAGCCCACATGGTGAAACTCCGTCTGTACTAAAAATACAAAAATTAGCTGGGTGTGGTGGTGGGTGCCTGTAGTCCAGCTACTCAGGAGGCTGAGGCAGGAGAATTGCTTGAACCCAGGAGGCGGAGGTTGCAGCTAGCCAAGATCACACTACTACACTCCAGTCTGGGCAATAGAGCAAGCCTCTGTCTAAAAAAACAAAAACAAACATAGTCTAGGCAAAGATAGAACTGTAAAATTTTTCATCTAGAAGAACTAGATTATCTGATTGATTGATGGAAGTTATCCAAGATCCAGTGTAGTAGCAGAACTGGGACCAGAACTCTTAAGTATTCCTCTAATTCATTACCCACAGGCTAGTTCTTTCTACTAAAACTCGGTCATTTCACAGAGGATTTTGAGAGAAATGAAACCACTCTCTATGATACTATAATGGTGGGTACATATCATACATTTGTCCAAACCCATAGAATGTACAATACCAAGAGTGAACCCAAATGTAACCTATGGACTCTGGGGTATGTTGATAATGAAGACAGCTATACATGTGAGTGAGTGGAGAAGGGGTATGTAGCTTCATTTATATAATCTTTACCAAAAATAAACAAACCCTATCTAGTGAAAGAAAAAACTATAAAGTCTAAAGTTAGGAAATCTCAGTACCATCTACTCAGTTTTGCTTTGAACCTAAAACTTCTCTAAAAAATTTAGTCTTTTTTAAAATAATAAAATTAAAAGACCAACACTAAAAACAAACAACAAAAAAGTCACAAGGGAAACTGTTCATTCCAGTATGGACAGGTGGAATGTGAGATGAGGCCAGAAAGAAATATCAAAAAGCTTGCTCTTGTACTTGGAGTCTCTTATTTATTGTTTACTGTTGACTCCACAAAGTAATATCCAGAATACGATAAGCATCTTGTCCCTCTCACATACATATTTTTCTTTTTCTGTTTTTTCTTTTTTTTTTTTTTTCTCTTCTTTTGAGACAGGGTCTTGCTCTCTTGCCCACGAGTGGAATGATCATGGCTCACTGCAGTGTCCGACTCCTGGTCTTAAGTGATTCTCCCACCTCAGCCTCATGAGTAGCTAGAACTACAGGCATGTACCACTGTGCCCGGCTAACTATTCTATTTTTTATAGAAACAGATCTCACTATGTTGCCCAG